AATATCTCCATTTCAGAATTAATCAGCTCTCTGGAGAGTTACTCCTCCTTGATACAATTTCCTAGATCATCAAGGAAGTTGGAGTCAAATGCATTGGTTTAAAAAGCAGATGTGAGAGAACCTCATCCCCCTTATACAAACCATGAATCACTGGCACACAGGGAACAAGAAATCAGAATGTGGTGGTACAATCAGCAAGAGAGACAGGACTGTGCTCCCATCTGAAAGGACTCTGCTCCTGGTCTGGATCCACCTCCTCCATTCCCCTCCCTCATCTTAACAGCAGATATGTAATTTTGCACAAATAGTAACGTAACAAATCAGTTAATGCCCACAGCCATCCCGGGCAGGGGCTGAAGGGTGGTGACATCACCACCACTGCGGCTCTTTTCCAACAGCAGAAGGGACACAAAAGCTTTTGCCGGGCACTGCCGGGGCCGCTGGCAAGGCGAGGATCCGGCATCCGCCTGGCGCCCGGCCCCGCGGCTGCCCTGCCCCGCTGGCACCTTCTCTCGGGGCCCAGAAGAGAGCACAGAGCTGACCGAGAGGAATCCTTGAGGATTTTCATCTTGCTTTTCCTGAACTGCTCAACAACATGAATACTAAGTTTTCATGTCAAAAGTAAATGAGATTGCTGTGCAGCCTCAATGCCACTACAGCTGTGGGAGCAGAAGCTGCTTCATTGCTGGGGAGAGGATGGACAGAGGGATGGCTGAAAGCAAAATTCAGGCCAGTAAAACAATGCAACTGCTTACAACAGGTTCAGCTTACCCAAAATCCCATCAGCCAGAGAGACTGGGATCCCGTGTTTGAGTGTGTGCCACATGCCAGACCAAAGGAGCTCTACAAACTTCTCTCAAAATCAACCTTGAAAGTTAAAAAAAGCTTCAAAACAATAACAACGGGCACAGTTTGTTCTTTCTCTTCCAAGGATACACATTTCTGGCAGTGTGCAGGGCGAGGGGACAGGCAGCAGGATCCCCTGCAGGTCGTGGCTCATGCCGGGACAGCCCCTTCCCCAGCCCCTCCTGGCCCCTCTCAGCTCAGCGGGGCAGATGCTGGCTCAGCCCGCAGAGCTTCCAGCTGAACCCACTGTGCAGGGGCTGCATGCTGGTTCCCTGGCCTTCAGAGGGGAATTAAGGTTTAATTAAGGTTTAATTAGTTTGTTTTCTTGTAAACTCCATCTCTATTACCCCCATTTCCAGTGCCAGCAGCAGCTGCAGGTGCCCTGTGCTTTCCCTGCCATCACTGGGCTCAGACCACTCCTGGGCTACTACTTAAAGTAAGTTTAGTTTATTGACAAAAGAAAGGTGCTGTGAAGTGCCCAAAGGGACCACTGTGGGACACAGCTTGTGCTTGGGCCAGGGAGGGGCTTTATTTATCTGTAGTGACCCTCACAGAGTGAACCCTGGCTTACAAATGAGCTTTTATTGCACTAACTGGGTTCTCTATCAGCAGTGATGGGAGAAGAGGCTTACAAAAGGTTATCAGTGTTCTGCATCTTGCAAAACTGGAAAATATCAATTTCCTGTAGACATCAAAGCCTAAACTATAGAAATGTTCACTGAAAAAAGCTACACCATGTATCTTGTATACATAGTTTTTACATACACACAGTAACTGCCATGACAGAGCAGCCACTGTCCAGAAATCATGGCAACAGCATTCCCAGATTATTCAACAGTGTCTCCATCCCTGTTCCTTGTTTGTATGGGTTTTTTGATGTTTCTTTTTTCTCTTAGTGCTCCTCTAGTTCTCCAACTCATATTTATCTCAAAAAAAATCCCTTAGCTCCATTCTGCCCTCATGGCACCAGTGGGCAAAACAGAACTTGGTCTTATTGCCAAGCTAAAGTCAGGCTGGTTGCCAAGAGCTCCCTACTCCCAGAAACTACTGATGATGTCAGATACCAAAATAAACAGAAAGGCAACTCCATCAATAATCAGCAATTCCCTCCAAAATACTACACTGCACTTTCTGCTGAAAAAATGCCTCTATTTCCATTTCATTTGTCTTTCCCTCTTTCCTTTCTTTCCTCTTTCCACATCTTGTCTGCACCTCCTTGTATTCATGGCATTTTTGAGTGATATCCAGAGGCAGAGCAAGGTCAAGCAGGTGCTGGGAAGCCTCTGGAAATGAAGCTGTTCCCCGCAGGCCTGGAGCTGATGCCCTGAGACAACAATTCCCTTTTAAAAGCAAAAAATGCAGGCAGAGAAAGACCCAGAGTGATCAACTGTACATCCAGCACATAGCTGTAAATACATCCTGCTCCAAGGTTTTCCCTGAACATACAGGTTTTCCTGGTGCTAGTGATGGTGGCAGAGAGACCCCCAGTGGCTTCATGCACCACCAGCCACCCTTTGTCACATCCCACAATCTCGGGGTCCCCCCAACAGGCGAGCAAGAAGGTTTTGGAGGGGCTGAAGGACATCACAGCCTTTGGGAGAACAGCCCCTCTGGGTAGGATATCACCACTTCCAGAGTTTGGAAGAATATTGGTGGCTCAAAACTGGATTTGCAGCAGATAAAGTATTCAGGAAAATGAAAAGAAGAGAAGGAAGGAAGAGAAGGAAGAGAAGGAAGAGAAGGAAGGAAGGAAGGAAGGAAGGAAGGAAGGAAGGAAGGAAGGAAGGAAGGAAGTATTTACCTTACAAGAATGGACATGCAATGCACATAAAGCCTGAGTGTTAATAATGCAATGGCAAATTATTTCAATAACAACAATGATAGTAATTGAAACCTCTGTGCTTATGAGCACAGAGATGCACAGAAAGCTAACACAGCAGCATGTCAAGCTATTCCCAGCCAACAAAAACTGGAACCTCCACCTGCCCTGTGAACCAGTCAGGGTTTTCATCCAAGGAGGTGCTGCTGCAGACACAGCTTGTCCCAGAATCACAGAGGGAGTTGGAAGGGGCCCCCAAGGATCACTGAGTCCAACTCCTGAGGGACTGATATAGCTGAGGCTGCAAGAAGATGTGAATGGACACTTTGCATGTCCAGAGTGTCCTTTTTGCTGGACACGAACCTGCTGTGATTTTTCCAGCTTCAAACAGCAACAGTTCAGCATTCTCTACAGCAATCCATCTGACACACCAGGCTGAGCAAGAGGAAATATCAACAAGCCCTAACACAGATGTGCAGAAAGTAACGCTTATATAACAACGAGGGGTTTATCACGCAGTGAAAAAACAAAACATTTTGCTTTTCATGACCAGTAATGTCCTGCTTTGTTTTGGAGCTCCATCCCAGAGCTGATTTCAGCAGAGGCCAGTTCAGGAGCCCCTGCTCCAGGCCAGTCCCACGCACAGCTCCCCGGGAGGGCTGGCCTGAGCACAGGCACCGCTCTGCCCGTGGAAACCTCCCGTGGATCGGCTTTGTTTCTGCTCCGCTGTCCCGCAGGGAGAGCCGCATTCTAACAAACACGACGATAGCTGGAAACAGACTGCTTCAAAGGGCTTTGCAAACAGAACTCGATCCTGGCATCACCGGGAGAGGTGAGAGCGCTGTTTGTACAGATGGGGGACGGCGGGCAAGGGGGGGAGGTCAGGCTGCTGCCTCCCCTCCGCGGGGGCGGCACTCGGGGCTCAGATCCCTCGTTAGGAACTCGTGAGTGCACATCCACCGGCTCCCGCAGCCCGCGGGACACCGGGGAGCACCGCACCATCCGAGTGTCCGTGCGTGCTCCGGGTGGGCCGAAGAGCAGAGGTGCAGCAGACAGCAGCTCCTCGTCCGTGCCCATGTGCCACACGGGGAGAAGCACTCCGGGCACGCAGGCACACGAGAGCTCCAAGGGGTGCTGCAGGGAAGGAAGGTGGCCGGCCGGGCAGCCAAAGCTGTGGCTGGGCGGTGGAACCCGAGCCCCACACGCCGGGGTCGGGCACTCGCCCAGGCGGCTCTTCTGGCAAGAGGTGAAATGCGCCGCGGGCACGGGCAGCCCGCCGCGCCAGGACACTTGCGGGGCCGCGGGACTCGAACCGGCCACCTGCGCGCCCAGGGGCGGCGGCGCTGCGCCGGCGCCACCGCGCGGAGCCTGACCGCGCTCGCCGAGGCGCCTGGTGGTTCTCGGCGCCGCCTGCCCCGTCCCCTCTGCTCGCCGCGCTGCTCCGAGAGGGCAGGGAAAGCCTCATCCCTTCCAAGGGAGGGCTCAGGAGAACAGAGGACCTTCCCCATGGATACAGACTGCCCAGCACAGCGAACCGCTCAGCGAGAGTTCACCGTTTCTTTGTATCATTACCTGCATTCACCCAGCTCACATCCCAGCCTGCTCACAAAGCTGATAATCGAACCCACCCACTGTGGGGTGCAAGAGTCTCCTCTGGCCACCTTCCATTCACACTGTTAGATACAGTAAGCCAGAAAAACGAAGTAATATAGAGAAAACATTACAAGACAAAGATAATTACCACCTACCTCTGCCAACTGCCTACCTGGGCAAACAGCAATACCAGCAGTCCCCCTTGTAAAGCTCCAAGAGAGGAAATTTACAGCAGACTTCTTGCTTAAAGTTGAAGTTTCTCAGTAGAAAACTACTCTGGATTAACAAATTTTGTGTTTTCTTCAGACAGTACCATTGACTGAGCGTGAAAAAAGCCAATTTACTACCAGAAGAAAACAAACCTGATTTATGTTTAGTGTGTTATTTCAGCATTACTCATGTTCCAGAATTCAGTTCTGAAAATTTTCAGGATGTGTTGAGTCGTTTGTAACAGATTTAAACCCTTTGTTGTAAAGTCTTCTGAGAAAAACAACACACTTGTTTTTCTCAGCTACCTTTTGTAGATGCTGTTTTGTAGTCTCTGAAGAACCTCCCACAAATTCATGGTCTACAGGCCAAGAAAGATTGCTCTGAATGATTCTAACCACACAAAGATGAGTAGAGTGACATTGTAAACTACTTTGTATTAGAAATATTTAACATTTAGGACAGAAGTGACCTCTAATTGTTTCTCTCTTGGCCGTGCCCCAATCTCACAATTACTTTGGTTACATGATGACAGTTAAAACTTTTTCAAGTTTATTTATTTGAAGACACAGTTACCAAAATAGTGATCTGTGAAATAAAACCAACTGGAAATATAAATAACCCTCTTTGCAAAGCCTACTCTTTCTCCACCCCTAACCCCACTCCCTTCTACCCAATCATGGATCTCTTCCTCCCCCTCAGCCGAACCTCATCCAGCTTCTTGATCACAGGACCAGATTTTTTAGACGTGGCTGCGTAGGTCTTCAGCAGAGCTTGGAACATCGTTTCAACATCTGGATGAGTGCTAATGAAGGCTTTCTCCAGAACATACAAATCAACTCCTTTATCCTCTGGAAGACCCGAAATAAAACTGAGTCCAAAGTCTATCAACACCAAGTCCAGCTTCTCCGTGGGCGGCCGCAGGAGGAGGTTGGCAGTTGTGAGGTCCCCGTGGATGATATCCTCATCGTGCATCCTTGCCAACAGCTCACCCATCCTCTCTGCCAACTTATGGAGCTCACTGGCATCACTCCCACTCTTTTGTACAGAATAAATATGATCCTGAACAGTAATTGAGTCCACAATATCTTCAAGATAGATGGAGTTGGTGACATAATCCACGAAGTAGACCGCTGGAGCTGGAATCCCTATTTAAAAGAACAAATCAAATGCCAGCAGTTAATTTACATGTCTTCCAGCTTTATTTTAACACAACAGAACCCATAAAAGCCTTAAGCAGGAATGCCAGTTGAGATCACACCCAGCCACTGGTGCTGCACCCCTCGGAGTGGCCAACACTCAATGCAAGCCATCTGCACAGCCCCGCAGCCTCACAGGACCTGGAGCTCCAACCTTCTGAGAGCCCAGCCCCTGCTGGGGGAGCGTCCCTGATAAAACACGCTCTGGGGCACGCCGAGAGCAGGGCGACTTTCAGGGGCACTGTGAAAGAGCACAGCGTGTCACCCGGGCTCAGAAATGCCCCCGCATCCTTCAGGATGGCGCTGAGTGCCTGAGATCTGCTCAGAGCGAGCTGAGGAGCCGGGGCGCCGGGGCTCACCCCGCCCTGGGGCGTGTCTGTCTGTGTGTCTGTGTGTCCATCCGTCCCTCCCGCCAGGCAGCCCCGCCCGCCCGCCCCCGGGCCCACCTGCCCGCAGCGCCCGCGACCGAACGCGCACCGCCCGCCTCAGCCTGCGCCGCCGCCATCGCTGCAACGCACGCAGCGCATGCGCGGGGCGCCCGTTCGGCAGTGCTCGGTAATCTCCGGCCGTCCTCGGTGGGCCGTGACGGAAACCTACGAGCTGCCGAAGCGCCGCCCGGCTGTACCGCTCGGGCGCCCCCGCTATAACGCGCCCTGCCCGCTCTGCTCCCGGGGCTGCCGGCGCTGCTCCTTCCAGACCGCTCCCTGTGTTCCCCACCCGGGAATCCTGCTGCCCTCCGCCCGCCTCTGGGTAACTGCAGCCCGGTGGGACCCGTCCCCGAGCATCCCCGAGCCGGCGCGCCCTCCCGTGGTTTTGCCGGCGCAGGAGCGGGACCTGCAGCCGGCCCGGGGCTCGCAAGGGAGGTGTTGGATGCGTTTCTTCCCGAGGTGGCAAGTGGGAGCGCGTGGTTCCCCCGAGGTTTTCCCGTCATCGCCGTGGAACCCCCCTGCAGGGTTCCAGGGATGTCCCCTCATCCTGGAGCATCACCGTGGGGACTCCATCTCTGGGCACCACCGCAGCATGGTCCATCGCTGGCTCTTGTTCTTTCACGTGCCAAAAGCCTCTGCTGGAGCCTGTGCAGGCCCCCTGCAGCTGCCCAGCTGGTGGCCGGGAAGGAGAAGGGGTTTGCCCGAAAGCTGATGGCATCAGCAGCCTGCAGCAGGGCGAGCTGTGACCTGGGGTCCCCACGCTGGGCACCACCAAAGCTTCTGCCCCAGGTCTGCCACGGGCCACTCATGCCCTGAGTCAGGTCACTCCCCCTTCCAGCAGCCAAGCTGCCATCTTATCAAGAGATGGATCAACCTCATTGTCCTCATGAACCTCACTGGAGCAGTACTTGGGTTTTCATGGCACCCTGAAAACCCACTGCCCTACTGGGTGATCTGTGCATGCTGCAAATATGTTCCTCAGAAGGTACAAGAGAATTCAGCCCAGTCCATGTCAACGTGTTTTCAATTGTTGCTTTTGGAGGTGCTGCAAGTCCATTTTGTCTTTGTTTTCTCACCCACAGCATTTGTTTCCTTTTCAGAACATTTATATTTTATTAACACATTCCACACAGCTTACGTGTCATTGCACGGTGGGATCATGCCTGGCAAATATTTATCTTGCTTCAGTGACAACTTTTAAACAACCTTCCCAAGTTTTCAATGATACAGATAATCCATCCTGCAATCCTGCCCACCCGTGGCACCCTCCTGCAGCTGTGGCAGGGCTGCAGGAGCCCAACAGCTTGCCCAGGGAATGGGGTGAATTCTCTGTGGCCTTAATTTGCAAATGCCTCAAACCCTCAAATAAAGCAGAAGGTTTTCCCCGTGCTATGAACAGATTTTAGCAGAGCATCTGTGCACAGATACCTCCACAGACACACATACACAACCTATAAGCAAGTGCACACAGATAGCCTTCAGTTCATTATTCTGGCAAACATGATGGTTTTCTCTCATGCTGGCCAAAAACCTCCTCCAGAGCTTTCAAAATATGAAAGAAAATATTTTTGCTTTATTTTCCCCTTTATTTTATTTATTTAAATTTTATCTTCCCTGTGATTTCACTTATTCTTTTCTCTCTTAAGGCAATAAACAGTTGACATAGCCCTTGGAAACTAACTAGAGCCATTTACAATATTTATGGTATCACCCAGTATTTTTATTGGAATATTGAATCACCCCAGAGAACTGCTCTGAAGCCACAGACTGGTAAATGGTTTTATGTAACTTTGTGCTCCTGGTGACAAGCGTTTACAAACTCTCCTTTCACAAACAATGTAATTAAGTTTAAAAATTGCAGCCCAGCAAACCAAGCTAATGGGAACCAAGGCAGAGCTCATGGGCTCATCCCTGCTGTCCTACAGATCCCTTGGCACCAGGCAGGTTCAGCCCTGGAAGCAGCTCTCCCAGCTTTTTTAGGGATGGAGGCTGCCCTCCTCAGAGCTGGACAGATGGGAAAAGGGATGAATTTGAGTTGTTGCAGGCTGCCATACTGGAGGCATCCCTAAAATGTACAAGGAAACAAAATTCCTGGTGGGACCAGCACTGCTGACCGGCATTGCCAGAGAACCCCCTGGGTTAGGACATCACGACAGAAAACACCTGCAGCCTGGCATCAGGGGGAGAAACCTCTCTGGGATGTAAATGAGCGTGCAATAAATGCAGGTTCCTGGTGAGCTGTCTCCATCCAGGCCAGCTGTGACACTTGTGCCAGCTCAGGGACCATCACCTCCACCAAGAACTGAACAGAGTTTGGTCACTTTGGTCCCCCGAGCCCCTTCCTAAGGGTCAATCATAATAGAAGAAAATACTCTTGAGGGTGTGAAGAGGATTCCTGAACACATCTTCCTTTTGCCAGGATGGACTTCCTTCTCCTCCTGTATTTGTATTTCAATTTGTGGTTTTGCAGCCTCTTTCAGCTGCTCCAGCTCAGAGGTAGAGGGGAACATTTCCAGCAATCACAGGCGGGTGCTGATGCCAAACACAGGCTGCCGTTCCCGAGGCAGAGCTCTCAGGAGCACATTCCTGCTCCTCAGCCCTGGGGATGAGTGTGCCAGCCCTGGGGATGGATGTGCCAGCCCTGGGGATGTGCTGCCCCGGCCCCACAAGCCCGGCAGCCAGGAGCGAGATAAGGATCGGAGGGGAAATGGCACTGCCAAGACACAGGAGTGCAGAGGAGGAGGAAGGCATCACAGGAGGAAGCAAGGACACGAATGTGCCTGCAGGCACGAAGCATTGGTGGATCCAACCCCCTCCAGGCGTTCTCACGTGCAGCTTAGGGACAAAGGTGCTGGGAAAAAAAAAAAAAAAAATCACTTGGAGTTTAGGGACAAAGGTGCTGGGGAAAAAAAAAAAAAAAGTTTTTACAGAAAGAGTAATAAAGTTCTGGAATGGCCTGCGCAGGGAGGTGGTGGAGTCATCATCCCTGAATGTGTCTAAAAAAAGCCTGGATGTGGCACAGAATGGGTTGGACTTGATGATCTTGAAGGTCTCTTCCAACCTGGTGATTCTGTGAATTCTGTGAATTCTTTCAGCAGGCCCAGAACACCCACTGGCTACAAAAGGTGTGATAAGAAAGATGTACTTTAAGGACCCCAAAGAAAGACTTTTTTCCCCCCCAAACTATCCCTGCTGCACATCATAGCAGGTTTTCACCCTTTTCTCCAGAGGACAACAACCCACAGCCTCCACAGTGTCCATGTGACAGCTGCATTTCTGCACACACTGATGTCATCTTTTTCTCCTCCTTTGGTAAACACACCATAAAGCTCTTCCTGTGCTCACCAAGACCTCACCTTCTCGTTGTCAGTGCTAATAATATTTCTTGCCCTGCTGGAGACCAAGAAGCCTCCAGAAAATGTTCAGGTGGCAGAAAAATAAATGCTGAGTGACCACAGAGAAAAATATAATTTCTTCCTTCTCACACTGCAATAATTTCAGAAGGAAGGGATTGTTCAGGCAAATTGGAGGTCATGTAGCCAAGAGTGAGTTTGCCCTGGGGCTGATGAGGACTCTGGGTTCTCTCTGGCTCTCTGCCTGGCATGGTGGGGAACAATGCATGGGAGACATCTCCTCCAGTTCCTAACACAGCTCACCCAAAGTGCCTTGGCCTGAGCTCTGGGGGGCCAGAGATCGTGGGCAAGATCACACTGCATCCCCTGCACCCCCTGTGCTCCCCAAATGTGGAACATCAGGCTAGACACAGACATGTAGTGTTTGCTGTCTGCCATGAACTGGTCTCATGTGGGTCTTGGGGAAGAGAGAAAATTGGGATAATTTCTCCCTCTGCTTATCATGAGAGCTGGTTGTGATTTCAGAGCTGTTTAAACTGCTCCAATCTGAAATGCAAATGCTATTGAAAACCATGAACAATGTGGGTTTCTGTTGGCTGGTGTTTGAAGCCATTCTTCACCAAGTGTGTGATCCCTGTTGCAGCTGTCAGGCTGTATCAGACACAAGGTTTTGGAAAAGGTGTTTTCACATCCTGTATTCCCACTGAAATTAGAGCATACAAATGGGAAGCTTTTATTTAATCTACAAATCAGGTACATGATTTTACACTTTTCCTATTCTCTATGATTTTGAGAAGAAACAAAACCAAAACATTTGATCAGCTGCTGCTTATGTTGCAGCCAGATATCAACAGACTAAAGCTGAAATGATATACGTAATCCAATATGGCCCATCTCAAGCATCCCAGAACTGTGACTTGGAATAAAATGAGTTGGTACCACTGCTCTACAGAGCAGACACATGAGATGTATCTCCACACTTGGAAAAATAACAATTTTAAATACTTCTCTTAAATTCCCTATTAATTTAACACAGAGGATGACTGAAAAGGCTCTTTAAAAAAAATTATAATGTACTCCAATGTTCTTTATTCTTCACCCAACCTGTTAATTTTTGCATGTGTCAGAGGCACAATGGTCACTGATTCAGACCTTCCCCAGTTCAATTCTGTAATGGGGCAAAAAGCTTTATCAGCACAGGCTCCACAGAGTGCTGTCCTGGAGCTTGTGTGCTTACAACATACCAAATATTAAAACTCAGCAAAGGTTTTTAATGCAATATTAGCTGCAGACACGTGCCAGCTCACAAAGCAGGTTTGTGGTCAGCTGCACTCACCCTGCAGTGGCAGTGCCTGCTGCCAGGCTCTGTGCATGTCACACCTGTGACACCACATCCTCCTCGCTGTCCCCTCCCCTGCCAGCGGGGTCACAGCAAACTCCTGAGCATCTCATGTACTTGAGCTCAGCACAACCCGCCCAGCAGCTGCCATTCACACAAACAGCACCAAGAGGCAATGTTTGCCTATTGTGTTAAAGAGTTTTGAAAGCACTTCGAGGTGTATCATGCTTTGTAAAGTCCTTGTCTAACAAACTGGACTATGGGACACGTGAAATCAGCCTCAGAAAATAATCTTGCATCCAAGTGCAAGTCCCAGTGTCTTTTATGCAGGACAGCAGGAAGGTTCCTGTTCCACTCAGCAGATAAAGAATGTTAATTGCAAAGG